ACTAAAACATAACCACACTTACGTATCAATAACATCAATTGCATATGCACAACTAACGTATCCATACGTTCTCATGTCCTACCCTCCCAAACTATCTTGAACTCACACATGCATTAGCTTGTTAAATTCATATGTAATATCTTCCTTCCTTTTCCAGTGACTGAACTTGGTAACTATAATCATGTACACCAGGTGAACTTGAAAAATCAATGAGATACACAACAAAAACCAAATCAGAGAACCAGTTATGAGGGAGTTGGTATATAATGTTTATATGTATTACACCAATGCGGCAATGCCAACATGCAACAAACARCACAGTTCATTATAGGGTTTGACGAGTTGCAGTCTGCTACTCAATGCGTCAATGCCAACATGGGCTGTTGGGTTTGTTCGATGTGACCAAGTAAGATAGCACAGCCATTGCAGCAAGAATAGTTGATAGTTCTCGCAGGTAATATGTGTTCATTTAAACGAATGTAGAAAATAATATTTAGCACTTACCAAAATGAACAGTTTGATCATTTTCTTCGCTTTCGACATTCGAATTCCGAATGTATTCGTAGACACTTTTAGCTTTTCCATTCCCATTGTCGTCAAACCAATTTACTCTATGATCATCCATATTACTCGGACWATAAYGGAATCCTTACAACATGGACTTTTTTCAAATTTACAATATCAAAACGATTATAGTAAGAATGTATATAWAATTCAATAAGATGAACATATTTGAATCTTCATGTCATTGAATATGAAGATCAATTTGAGATATTATAAGATTTGTAACTCTCAAATAAAATATTTGGGAGTTACATAATGATGACTAATGACCTAAATATAGAAATTTATAATCAGCTAGTTGAACACAGCCTCTGTTTTGTTAACGTGCATGTGATATCGTTGTGCAGGTTTATCGCTATGAACATATAGTAAGGCTGAAGGGCATGCTCATGTGACCAACCTATATATATTACCTTGTTCATCATGGTTCACAACGTAAAGCTAATGTTTGAATTTTCTAATGTTCATTAAGTACATTACAGGGAGCATTTTCTGTTTCAAGACTAATACATAACCACACTTACGTATCTTCATGTCATTGAATATGAAGATCAATTTGATATATTGTAAGATTTGTAACTCCCACATAAAATATTTGGGAGTTACAAAATGATGCCTAATGACCTAAATACCCTTATCATTTATATGTAAGTTACATTTTAACCAAACTCAAAGATGCAACACTACTGGTTGATGTGGGTTAGGAAAGTTTGTACAAAATATTGAGTTAGTATTTGAACCACCCTCTATATATATATATATATATATATCAAATCTCTCTATATATAAAAATAAACTGATAGGGTATTTTGGTGGGGTGCAACTTTATTCTTAAACAAATCTCTCTCTCTCTCTCTCTCTCTATATATATATATATATATATCAAAATTTCACTAATTAGATTTTATTAGTTTTTTTTCGAATTATTTGAATATATTTGTTGATGGTTCTATTAACAACTAACATATATTTATATAGACAATCTTCGGAACATTTACCAAAGTACTCATATTACCGTGCAACGCACGGTTCCCACACTAGTATATTATTATTTGACATTGACATTTGATGGACTTATATCAATTATAATTCCCGAGGCATTCAACACCCCCTATTAGGAGTTGCCATTAGCACTCCCCTTAACATATAGTTAGTGGTGCAAGTATTCGCACCCGAGTAGCAAAAGCGGTGGTTCAATTATCGAGAAGAAAAGTGGAACAACAGTGGAAACTGGTTTTGAGGATGGTGGAGGCTGGTAAAAAGATGTGGGATAATGTGTGGTAGATTTAGGGACGATTTTTATAATATGTGGCTTTTTAAATCCATCTAATATGTTTTTAATTAATAGATTTATTACATCATATCAAGGTAATCTGTTACTTAATAAACCAGTTACCACTTAAATAAATGAAAAGTTTATCTGAAGCCCTAAAATGATAATTTAAAAGTTAGTTCCCTAAAATAAAAATCAAACAAACTTGATTCTATTTTGATATAGTTTTTTCTAATTATAATTTCCAATCTTATTAATTAAATTTTTGCAGTTGTGTAACCTCAAGATATTTGGTTTCATGCCAAAAATCACTAAAAATCTTATAGATTATAATACTTATATGATTTAGGTATTCAATGATATTATATATCTACTAGAAGGGTACTTGTGCAATGTAACGAGATAAATTTTCATTTTAATATTTAGTTTTTATTCTTCTCTCTATCGATATAATATAATTTTACGTGGTTTTGAGAAAGCGATAATGTTTTGTTTTTGAATGAAATATAAATTTGAAGATAACATAAAATTTTGAAAAAAGTAAATCGATATTAATATCAAATTAACTATTTATTAGTTCTCATTTTCTTGGTGTAGCTTATTTAATTCAATTTTTTATTATAATTTAATTTATATTTAATAACAAAGTAATTTATTTTTGGTTTAATAATATAATTTTTTTATAAAGATAATAATTAAACATTCTATTGAAACTCAATTATTATCTTAATTATATTTTAGATTTTCTATATTTAAAATACATGTTTATCCTGTATTTGATTATATTTATCTACAGTTAGTTATATTAATTTTAAAATAGAGTTTTAATAAGTTGTACTTACGCAAAATTACTTGTAATCTTGACTTTTGAGTAATATGCACCAATAAACAATACTCAATGCATAAAAATTAGTTTTTAAGAATTTTTTTCAAATGCTTTATAATATAGTATGGATAAATAAATACAAAATCTCAAAATACCCTTAAAATGTTAAAAACCACATACCAAAATCTCAATAAAATACTACATCTAATCTTAAATAATTAGAAGATGAATTTTTTCTTACATAAAAAAACAATGAAATTACTGATTAAAATTCAAATGTTTGTTTTAAATCATAATTCTATAATTGAATTTTGAAAGTTACTTTTCCAACCTTGGTATTTTTTTCCAAAAGCTCCTAAAATATTACTATGGACTCAATGGTGGTGCCTAATTGATTTGAGTTTGGACTCCAAAGATCAAAAATACTTAAAGATCTCAGGTTCAAATTCAAGGAGAAATAAAATCCCCTAGTGGCTACGGAGGTTCAAATGCGTCGATTACAGGCTACCCGCAAAACAGGTAGTTGTTTTGGGATTAATCGGCTCACATAACAGGTTGGATGTCCAGGTCAATAAAAGAAAATGTTAAGATGGATGAAAATAATTGCAATATAACGGGAAAGAAATCGTCATTTTTTTTTTCAAAAAATATGGGCAAGTCATAAATACAACTTATTCACTTATTTTGAAAATTTGCTTTGCAAATCTTTTTGTAACATCCATACATTCTAAAAATTTAGCAAATAAATCATCATTTTAGTGTCTGTTTGGTACCAAACAAGATTTGGAATTGGATTCTATTCCTATCCCACAATTGGTTTAAATTAAATTTAGTAATAATATTTTAAAAACCTTAATTTTGTAATAATAAATTAATAAAAGATAATTTAATTTTATAAATTATCTGTTGAAAACAAAATTCATTTCTATTCTAAATCATACATAAACTAAACAGAGAAGAGATTTTCCAAACCATTTTCAATTTCAAATCATTCAAGAAATCCAAATCGGTTAAAGTTTTGTTCCATCAAACTGAAATTTTGAGCCAAAAAAAGCTATATATTATTTAATATACAACTTTCTAATGCATAAATACAAGTAGGTATTCCATTTAGGGGCCGTTACCTAAACACTTACCCGGTAAGTGTTTACCGGTAAAATTCAACACTATCGCTTAATTACCGGGTAAGATTTTATTCACCAAAACGCATCGTATGCAACAATTTATCCCGATAAGCGCTAACCATGATAAGAGTTGTTGCCCTCAATTACTGAGTACAACTCTCGCTTCTTTGTCTTTGCTCTTACCGGGTAAGATTTTTAATCTTTACCATATTCATCCGGTAAAGTAATGTGACTTAGCAAACACTTACCCGGGTAAGTGTTTGGTAAACGGCACCTTAATATACAACTTTCTAATGCATTAATACAAGTAGGTATTGCATTTAATTAATAGCAAGAAGTAAATTAAAATCGAGTTTTTTAGCTTCAAAATCGAGCAGCAGCAGCAGCAACACACGCGGATACATAACTAGTATTTTTGTGATAATCAACTTCCCAATATTAAAAAATAGAAAACCTTGCACATTGTTTACCGACGATAATTGGATGAGTGTAACTAGGTAAGAGTCACGCACCATCCGTACTTTTATTGAGTAAGATTCTCGTTCAAAAAATTAAATAACAAACAAAAAAATATATATATTGATAGACACCACTATTATATTTGATCAGCAAAACATCTTAAAAATAAAAGGAAAAGTGTTTAGTTATCCAATAAACATAAGAAATTTTTGCAAACTTAGAGTTTTTAACTAGAAATAATTTTAGCAAACTTAGAGTTTTTAACTAGAAATCTATTTTATAATAAAATTATGTAAGAATCATAATTATATTTCTACTTTCAAACTAACACATAAATAAAAATATAAAATAAATAAAACGAATAACTGATTAGGAATTGATGTATATAAGAATAGGCATTTTAATGAATATACATAACCTTTTTAAGTAGTCAATTCAATTGACTCCAACACAAACCATTTTGATGAATTAACACATGATATTGAGATTCGAATTGTTCAAAATCAACACAAACCATTTCAGTTGGTTCATTCAATTAACTTCAACAGATACAACATCAAAACAAAAAATTTCAGTTGGTTCATTCAATTAACTTCAACAGATACAACGTCAACACAAACCATTTCAGTTGATTCATTTAATTAACTCCAAAAAATATCCAAGTTGAGAATCTAAATAAACATACAATTCACCAATATCCAAAGGCGCCACTTCATTTCCACCCTTAAACTCTCTTCATACACCGGCTTGGTAGTCAAATATTTCTTTAATTCAATCACAAGCAAACATATTAGTATCGAGCAATTAATGTTGTATGAGATAAATGAAAATTTTTATATACCTCACGAAAGTCCTATCAATACACTTCTACCTCCCATTCCTTCATTGACCCTCAACTTCCCCACTTCGTTTATAACATCCTCCATTTCTTTTGTTAGGCGTTAAGCCAACTCTCTAAACAAGGTTGAACCTCCACCCAAAATGACATTCCTCTCCATAGCGTCGACAAGATTAGAATCTAGCGCAATACTATGAGTTCAGATAAGAGTATGAATACCCTTATCCGAACTATCTCCATGTAGCTAAAAAAACAGGTATACTTCTCTAATGCAAGTTTTACTTGTACTTCATCCGGTACTAGGTATGTCTATTGGTGGACAATTTTACTCTCCTCTGCAAAGTCTTGAGCCACATACTCGAGAATCTCATTGACGTCTTTCCTTCAATGAGCCATTGTCAACTCATGTGCTTGTTTGCCAAGAAGATTCATAAGATCATCTGTGATATCTGAACCACCTGTTTCTTCGACTTGTGTATAGAAATGTCATTGGAAACCCGGAGAATTTGAGTTAAACTTTCCCCAATTTCCACAGTAACAC